CTGCTTCCCACCACTGTGGGGCCTACACAGTCTGTCTCACTGCTCACTCCTTCACCTGGTTTATCTGCACTCGAATGTACAACCACGGTCAGCCTGCTGCCTTGTGCCCTCACTGGGCCCACCCGTTGCTATCCCACACCTGGGATCCGCCCACGGCTGCCTGCTTGCCTGGGTTGGGGGATCTTTCCTGTCTGTCGCCCGCTCTACTGCTGGCTCCGCCCCTCTCACCTGTCTGGCTGAACAGTTCATTGTTGTTGGACTTCCGTACAGTTCAATTTTCTGTGTTTTGGCTGCATTTTTGTTACTAAAACTTTGTTGTCTTTAAACTTGGTTGTGCGAGAGGGTACCGTGTTTCCACCTATGCCTCCATCTTGGTGGAAGAAATGTACCATAGTTTTTGATCTACTCATTTGCTGATGGGCACTTAGGTTGCTTCCAGCACATGGCTGCTATAAATTGTGCTGTTATATTATTAATGGAAGTCATTTTTGTCTATTGATTTTGAAAATTTACTCTTAATTCATATATCAACCAAGGTAACTTAGATATTTTAATAAATATTTGATAATCCATTAACAATAAAAAAGATGTACTTTGAAAATAAAATGATCTATATTTTAATTCATTGTTAGTTTAGTTCTAATACCAAAGTTTGCTTGTATATCCCTGTTTTCCCTTCATATAAAATTTCAAAATCTTTTTCTCAAGTTTGGTATTCATATGTCAAAAAAATAATTTGAGTAAGTTCAAAAAAGCAGAAAACTGTACTTGACAATTTAAATATATATATATACACACAGAAACATACATATACATACATAGTTTATTAATGTTGGAAAAGAAGAAAATAAGCTTTAAAGTTAAAAGTTATAAGAGGATGAAGACAGTCCATTTCAAGTTAAGTGAAAAAGAAATATATTTTAGATAATTAGACTCAAAAATAAAAAAAATTTCCTTTGTTCTGTCTTGAAAATAAATGCTGAATTAATTATAAAAGAAATATAAAATTTAAATATGATAGGTATGATTGTTTTAAATATAAAAATGTAAGCTACAAATTTGATTAAAACCTAATAATTCTAAGAAGATGTTAAGTTGCTGAACTTCAATAAAAATTATACTGTACCAGTATATACTCCTACCTGTTGTAAACTGACCGATCTGCCTGGTTCTAGGAATTGTAACTCTACCCTCTGTGGCTGAGTCAGTGACCTCTGGAATGCGAGCCACAGGAGACAAAGCTTGTCTCTGGTAGCAAATGCTGCCTCAGTTTCCTCCCTGCCCCCAAAGCATGGTCGGAAGTTCTTAATGAGTAAGACCCCTCAGAGGAGGGGCAGCCTAGGCCAGGCATGACCACTTGGGAGGCCATCATGGAAGGACTCGGGGGGCTGCAACAAGGAGCAATAGACTCTTGCCCCCACCCCCACCCCGGCTTTGACAAAGCCTGAGTCCCCCATGTCTTCTGGGAGAAGCACTTCCTGGCTCTAATCCCCTTAAGCCTGAATACCTGATAGGGAGAAGTGCAGCTCCTTGCCTTGCTAGAGCGTGCCCTGGGGAAAAATCTCATATCACAAAGACTTCCTGATAAACCTGTGAAATCTGCTCTACTAAGAGTGCTTTCATTCATATGTTAAGGGTTCAAGCAAGAAACCCTAAAACTCTTCCTGACTGATTCTGACTCAGACTAAGCCCTCAGACTTCTTTGAAATGTTATCTACTGTTTGATTCTTACCGCCCAATATTCCTGTGTATTACAACCCAATAAAAGCCCCTGGAGGAGGGGTCTCAATGCCTTTTTTTTCTGGGAAACTGGCCACTCTCCTCCCCAAGCAGATCACATCATGTCTCAGTCATGTTTACTCTCATCCGTGGCATATGGGGGGACCTGCGAGCAAAGTTGCCCCCACACCTACCTGCATTTTTATTTTAATGTCTTTCATTTTTGTCTTTTTCTAATGAATAATGATGTTGAGCAATTTTTCATGTTTTGAGTCCCTTCATTCTCATCTTTTGTGAAGGCTCTTCAAATAATATGACTACTAGGTTCCCCCACCTTCTGTCCTTGAGTTGTAGGGTATGTGTGTGTTTATATATATATATATTTCTAAGTATGAGTCCTTTATTGGAAATATTCATTACAAAAATCTTCCCCCACATTGTGACTCCCCTTTTCCCTTTTAGAAGGAAGGCTTTTGGGAATCAAAAGTTCTTAAATTTTTAATAATTGTATTGTGCTGTGGTAAGAACACTTAGATCACCTTTGTTAATGAACTTTTTAAGTGTATCATACAGTATTGTTAAACATAGGGACAAGCAGATCTCTAGAACTAATTCATCTTGTAAAACTAATTTATCTACTGTACAGCATATCTCTAGAACTAATTCATCTTGTAAAACTGAGGCTTTATTTGCATTGATTAGCCACATGACTTCTTCCCCTGCTACCATTCTGCGATAACCAGTGTTCTACTGTCTGCTTCTATGAGTTTCACTCTTTTAGATGCCTCATATAAGTGGAATGATGTAGTTATTTGTCCTTCTGTAACTGGCTTATTTCACTTAGTATAATGTCTTCAAGGTTCCTCTGTGTTGTCGCATGTGCAGGATTTGCTTCTTTTTTACAGCTGAACAACATTCCACTGTATGTGTATACCCATTTTCTCTATCTACTCATCCACTGATGGACATTTAATCTGTATATACATCTTAGCTATTGCAAACAGTGCTGCAGTGGACATGGGACCACTAATATCACCTAGAGATCCTGATTTCAGTTGTTAGAAAAGTATCCACTAGTGGGGTTACTGGCTCATGTAGTAGTTCTGTTTAATAATTTTTTTAAGAGTTTTCAATAGTTTTGCTTAGCGAATGCAATAATAATTTGCATTCCCACAAACATGCTTTTGTTTTTTGTTTTTCTGATGATGGGCATTCTAACAGGTAGTCATGCTTTTGACTTGCATTTCCCTGATGATTAATGACATTGGTCATATTTTCATATGCCTGTTGGCCATCAGTGTGGCATTTGGGAAGAAGTGTCTGGTCAAATCCCTAGCTCACAGATGGCAAACACAAGGCCCAAGGGCCAAATCCAGGCCTCCACCTTGTTACATCTGCCCGGCACCTCATTCCCACATGGTGGCAGTGCCAAGATCCTTGCCCCTTGTTAAGGAGTAGTTACATTTATACAGTCCTAAAATTACATTCGGTCCTTTGAAGGAGGCTAATGTTGGCCCCCTGGTGAAAATGAGTTTGACAAGCCTGCAGCTCATTTGTAAATCGGGTTATTGGGTTTTTTTGGTATTGATGCCAGAAGTTCCTTATATATTTTCACAATTAACTCTTTATTTGATATATGGTTTACAAATATTTTCTCTGATTCTTTTGGTCATCTTCCACTTTGTTGAATCTTTCCCTTGCTGTACAGAAACTTTTTAGTTTGATACAGTCCCACTTGTTTATTTTTTGCTTTTCTCGCCTCTATTTTTGGTATCAGTCCAAAAAAATCATTCCCAAGACCAAGATCATAAAGTTTTTCCTTATGTTTTCTTATATGACTTTTACTGTGCTAGGGCTCACATATAAGTAATGTATTTTGAGTTAAGATTTGTGTATGGTTTAAGGTAAGGGTCAAATTTCATTCTTTTGTATGAGTATATTCTGTTTTTCCAACACCATTTGTCCAAGAGACTATCTCTCCCCCATTGTGTATTCTTGGGCACCCTTTTGATCATATGCATGTGGACTGAGTTCTGGGTCTCTACTCTGTTCCATTGGTCTTTATCATTTTTATACCAGTACCATAACTGCATAGATATATTTCATCTAGAAAGTTTAATTTATTGATTTTAAGTTGTTACTAGTACCCTCTTTTCTTCTAACATCCAAAATATCAAAAACATGTAATTTTAATACCTGACATTGATCATTTACATCCTTTCTCTTTTTATTTTGATTAAGTAATTTTTATCACTTACATTATTAGTAATATAATATCTCTAATTCCTTTCTTTTTCTTTGATTCTTTTTGTTATTTTTCTGTTGACTTTCCTTTTCATTTATTTCTGCTTTCCTTAATTATTTATTTCCGTTCACTGCCTTTGAAGGCAATAATCTCTTCTATGTCTTTGATAGAGATTATAGTGAAAAAAATACATTTGATTGTCCTCTGTCCTGTACTACACATTTTATTGTGATTAAAAATCTTGCTAAAAAGTAGAGATGTGCCTAATTTTTGTAGAACCTAAAACAGTCTGCCTTGACCATAGGATTAAGATGGTATTGTCCATACTTAACAGTGCTCTTAAAATTAGGATTTCCCTCAGTCAGGCATGTATCTCGACATTTGTTACATGAATATTAGTCAGTACTACATGAAGAAAGAGCTGGAAAAATAATCTTGGATGCTATTAAAATATTTTCTCTTTTTATATACAATCCATCATTTGCTAAGGAAAATTTTTTATGCTGGTAACAAAAGGGAAATGTCTAATTTTATAAAACAATGTTTTAAATTATTTCATACTCTGATCTCTGAATTTACCTTCCCTGATGAGTTGATGAAGTAAAATCAAAGAATACTCCAAGGCTCTATCTTATTAACAGTAAATTTTTCTGAGGTAATAGTATAACTATAAGCATGTGTGGCATACCTTACAATATCAGTCCTCTTTAATGTGGCAGTAAAATGTCACTTAGATATAAGTGCTTCTTACTAATGCTCAAAAGAATCCCATAATGCATTGCTCACAGATATTTGCCAGGGTATGCAAAAATCACTCGCTTAGTACAGGTCAAGGAAGAGAGGGTGAGATGTCATGAAACCGAATTTTATTGTTAAGGGTTATAAAGTAGCTCACAATGAGAACCATAAAGAGTGTTCTGAACAAATGCTTTGGTTGCAAAGGCACAGTTCTTAAGTGCTCGCAAACATCACAACCAAAACATACAATGGAAATGATATTGCTCCAACTCACCTCTCACTGGGGGACTGATCCATGTTATCCCTGCTTTCTTCTGACATTGATCTAGAAAGTTGATAAAACTTCTTTTAAAGTCGGGAAGTGTTAAAATCTTAAATGACTGTTTGAATAAAGAAGGTTTTTCAAGAAACAAAGTGACTTATTACATTAAACATCTTCTTCCAACCAAATAAAATAAAAACAAAATAGATGCTGTCTCAACATTGGAACAAGTGCCATTGGCCACCTTGCTTGGTTAACACTTCTCATCCTCATTTTACATTTATCCAAGTGTTTATGTCACAAGCTCACATTTGTCCACACAGGCCCCCTGATTCTATGTCATCCCTAACTCCTCTAGTCAAATTAAGCCAAAACCATTAAGTAGTCATCAAAAATTTCAGTTAAATTTTCTATATATGAATACATACTCCTTCCTCTTATAATACATATTCATGTATGCTCTTCCTATAGATTTTTGGAAGGTAAAACTCGAGGTAAATATTTCCATGGGAAAATCATATGAATTATTAATAAGGGTCTCCATAGCGATGTTTCACTATGACTCTGTGATGTTTCACAGAGTCACCTGTGTGACTCTGTTGGGAGGGCTGCATAGCCCTCATGCACCTGATTACAGGCAACAGGGGATATTTCTGGTACTGATTTGGTGCACCTGGAAAGTTGATGATACCCTGGAAAGCTATTATTATCTTCCATTCTATAGAGTTATGGAGAATAATTTTAAGAACATAAAGATTAAATCACTTGTTTAAGAAAGCATAGTTTTTACATGCCATATTTAGGAGTTAAAATTAGGCTTTCTGAGGCTAAATGTAATTCTGTTCCCATTTCATAATGCTGCTCCCTGTCTTTTAACCTGACCTTGTGAACTATGTAATTTCTACTTTAGGAAGGACTTTCCAAATTATCAAAATCAATGTTTAGGAAGATAAATATTATGGAGGCCAGTTTGAAGATATTATCTCTAGTTGAGAAAGGCAATTAAATTATTTACCACTGATCTGAGACTCAGTATCTAAAACTTTTTTTTGAAAGTTCCCTTGAAGTGCGGTGCCACCTATTCTCATGAAGTCAGCAACAACATAACTAGACAGGGCGGTGGACCAAGAGACTGGATAAACCACAATATTCGAGGCACCTACAGGTTCCCCAAAAATGATTCCAGCAGTAAAATGAATCAACCTAGAAAACCACAGAGGGCACCAAACCAGTTTGAAATGTTTCCTTGGGCCTCTCCTAATATCATCGTACCTATAGTCTTAGGTTATTCTTGATGAAACCTAGATACATTTTTTCTTGGCTTCCTTAGTAAGAGTTTTATATGTTTATATATACCTCTCACTTTCAGTTTCTCCTCTGTAGCATAGCTCTCTTATTTTATCCTGCTTTATTAAAACAGCAGCAGCGATGATGAACACAGGTAAAGAAATGTAGAAAATGAGTTGATATTGGCGTTTGGGGGGAATGGTAGATCTCTGCTCCAATAAACTTCTCCCTACTATAGAAAATATCCATTTCAAATTATGTCACAGATGTTATTAACCAACTGCAAAGGTGGAGAGGCTATCATTACCAACACTAGTCCCAAACACTAAACATTTCATTCATGTATATTAGGAGTATAATAAAGTCCCAGAAAGTAATGTACCAAATAAGCTGGTCCTAGTGCTTTACTGATGATTTTGCATTTTCAACTTTCCACCATGAAAGTTGATTTCTTTGACTGAAGGTAATGTTCTTTCATGAAACACATGCTCAATACTTGCAAACATGTCTTCAGTTCTTTTTTGACACACCTTCTCCAAAATTCAACCATCCATATCACAGAGATTATTGGGATTATACCTGGCAAATGTGGCACTTGATTTCTCACACATTACTACAAATTTTTCTAAAAAATTAAAAATTAGTAGCCAGTAACTAAGTTGTTTAATCAAATATGTAGCAATATGAAATTAAAACGGCTCTAGTATAGAATGCATCACTAAGCCTGGCATTAACCCATTTTTGACTCACTAGTGCTAATACCTACATTTTTCTCCCCAGTTCTTATTCATTCTCAGTTGAGAATATGGCTCCTCCTTGTATATACCAGCCACCTTTCTGGAACAATACTGTGTTGAGTTCACTTTCTCCATGGCTTGCTGGCCTGCCTCCTTTCACTGGATAGGAGGAGCTCTGTTCCCGCAGGCCTCCGCCAGCTGGAACAGTGGAGGAGCTGACAGGCAGAGGAGCCACTCTCTAGCTGATGATCCTTGAGTCTCAGTCAAATCCCCGGATAACTGCCCCCGGAGCAGTCATATTCCCCTAAGAATTTTAAAGGGAGTTCAAGGTACAAAGTTCAACACTTTCTGTTTGTCTGCTTTCTACATGTGGTTGGGGTTCCTGGTATTATTAGGATGAGGATTACATTAGAGATCAGCCTCTCTGGCTATATACTGCGGATTAATTCTCAGCTAGTCTTTGGGGTCATCAATGATATTAATGGGTTATTTGCAAAGAACATAACATATTCCCAGGTGGCCTCAGAAGCATGAGTAGGATTTCTGGAAACCAGAAAAATGGGTCTCACTTCTTTCTACTACAATCTAGTTTTAACAAGCACTACTAATAATAGCTAAGAAGGAACATTTTCTAACTCGCCTTTCAGCCTGGTCTTCTTCATTTAATTAATTACTCCGAGTTTCCATTTTCCACTGGTTAAAACTAGTCCATAGTAATCTGCCTCAAAGCTTACCCTACTTCATTCCATAGATGCTTCGGTGAATCACCTAGGCATTTAACTCTTCATGGTTTTTCACCTTCTCCCTTTTATTACACCGAAGTGTTTTAGCCTTTATTACTCCGGGGTTTAATCATCAAATCAGACTCCCAAAACATAAATCTTACCCACACCAAGCATTATAGTCAAACATTAGATAAAAGAAAAAATAACCTTTCCCCCCGAGGAGCCTGAATCCATCCACTGCACCTCCCAAAGGTTTCCCTTGTCCCCCTGCCCTCAGCATTTGAATTGGCTTCAGAAAAAAAACAAACAGATGAGAGTTTTGAGTGAAGTAGAAATGATATTGCTCATAAAGGAAGCTACGTCAGTTTTGTACTCTTAAAAACACAGCTTACATGACTACCTAGCTTCTCCAACTAACTATTCCATCATGAATCAATAAATTCCCGGTTTTAAAATAATCTATGTATACAGATAAGTACATCCTGCCCATAGTATTTTACAGAGAGGGACTCTTCACTTCTACTGCCAACAAATACTGCTAATGTGTGTGTGGTGGTTCACTTATTGTCATCTTGACTTGGCCATGTGTGCCCAGATACTTAATCAAACATTATTCTGGGCATTTCTGTGAGGGTGTTTTGGAATGACATTAACATGTATAATACGTTGGTGGACTGGGCAAAGCAGATTGCCTTCTCTAATATGAGTAGGCCTCATGCAATCAGCTACAGGTCTTAATAAACAAAAATGCTGATCTTCTTGAGAAAAAGAGAGGATTCTTTCTGCCTGAGGAAACTTCATGGAGACATTGGCTTTTCTTGTGTCTAAAACCTGCCAGCCTTTGGACTGTAAATATACCATCAACTCTCCTAAGGCTCCAAGAATGACAACTCGCCCTGCAGATCCTGGGACCTGTCAGCTTCCAGAATCACATGAGCCAATTTCTTATGATATCTCTCTCCTCTCTCTCCCCCATATATATATGTGTACATACATATATGTGTGTGTGTGTGTGTGTGTGTGTATACACACACACACACACACACACAGATCCTATTGCTCCAGTTTTTCTGGAGAACCCTAGTACAAATTTTGGTACTGAGAATTAGGCTGCTGCTCTAACAATTACCTACAAATGTGAAAATGGTTTTGGAACTGGGTAATGATAAATAGAGGATGGAGAAATTTTGAGACACATTTTAGAAAACCCTAGATTTACTATAAAGGAAAATTATAAAAATATCTGATTTCAAATAAGTGTCTATTTTTACATACTTATGAGAAAATAATAATGTATGTGTAAAATTATATGGGACATGTTAAATTATCATGCTTTTATTTTGGTCTGATACACAGTCTGGTATAGCTTTGTGTTAGTTCTCTAAAAAGTTGGTCACCCCAGGCACGACCACTGCCTGGTATCAAGCCACAGCTAAGTCTGCCCTGGTGTTTCATTATTACTTTTCCCAGAAGGAAAGGAAGTGAGGGTAGATAGCCCTATTCTGCTCCCAGATTATTTTAGGTGGGCGCCCATCCACTCTGGAACAGCGGGTATCCCTAAGTTGTTCCCATCCTTATCCAGACTTGCTTCATCTCAGAATAATGCTCAGGAACCCCAGGGTTGGGGAGGGTGGATTCTAAACAGAAAATTTCAAAAAAGTTAAATGGGAAGCCTTATAATTGAGAAGAAAGGATTAAAAGACAGTCTGAAAGAGTCCAGTGGCATTACTATAACAATGACTTATACACCAGGAATACATGAGACAATCCAGAGTGAACAATCTAAATAAACTAGTCAAATTATATGCACTGGCACTTCTAATGCCATTTACACACTGGCATTTAAAAGTGCCTAATACTGACTATACTTTATGTTGGTAAACAATGTCAATGTTGTCACAGAAAGGAGAATACAAACGTATAGTCCAAGGTTTTTTTAGCCTTTTATATCAAATAGATATGTAACCTAATAAACACATTTTGCAAAAACTCCAAGAAATAAAAAATAATTATAAAGCTGTGGGGTTTTTTGGCATTACTTGTTTGGCCATCTAGCTTGTAACCTATACTTTTATTCTCTTTCATATTATCTTTCATTAATGAAATTTGAAAGACATGAACTTCCTTTGCCTTGGTGCCCATCATCAACACTTCCAAACTGTCCTTTGGATTCTGTGCAGTTAGGAGGAGCAAACCCTTTGTCACAATGGCAATGATTGAAATTGTTGCAAATCTGAAATAATCAAAATATAAAGTAAATTTTTATGTACATAGATGGTTCTCAATAAAGACCAATGAATATCCTATACTTATGCAACAGATAACTTATTCCAGAGAAATTAGCCAATCTAGAGGATTTACCTTCAAAATTCAACAAATTTTCACCAATTTTCTCTTGAAATTATCTATACCTTAAAATGTACATCTAGCCACTTTTGTCACATATCAATTGAGATCATACAGGTGTGGGTTTATTCCTGGGCTCTCTGTTCTGTTCAATTGATCTATTTATCTGTCCTTGTGCCAGTACCAGACTGTTTTGATTATTGTGGGTTTATCATAGAGTTTGATATCGGGAGTTGTGATACCTCCAGCTTTGGTTTTCTTTCACAACGTTGCAGAGGCCATTTAGAATCTTTTATGTTTCTGTATGAATTTTTGGAATATTTGTTCTAGTTCCATGAAGTATGCTATTGGTATTTTAATAAGAATTGTGTTGAATCTACAGATTGCTGTGGGCAGAATGACTATTTTAATGATGTTAATTCTTCCAGTCCATGAACATGGTATATGCTTCCACTTATGTGTATCTTCCTCAATTTCTTTCTTCAGTGGCCTATAGTTTTCTAAGAACAGGTCTTTTACCTCCTTGGCTACAATTATCCCTAGGTACCTTTTTTTTTGTCATAAGAGTAAATGGAATTGTTTTCTTAGTTTCTCTTTCTCGTAGCTCATTATTAGTGTATAAAAATGTCATCAATTTCTGTGTATTAATTTTGTATCTTGCTATTTTGCTAAATCCATTAGTTAGGTCTAGTAGTTATTTGTTGGAATCTTTATGTTGGGTTTTCTATGTATAAAATATCATCCGTGAACAATGACAGCTTTACTTCCTCCCTTACAATTTGGGTGTCTTTTATTTTTTCTTGTTGTCTGATTGCTGAGGCTAGGACTTCCAGGACTGTGTCAAATAAGAGTGGTGAAAACAGACATTCCTGTATTGTTCCTGATCTTTAAAAGGGTGGTGAAAGCATACAATGGAACGAAGATAGTCTCTTCAATAAATGATTTGGAGAAAACTGGACTTACATATCCAAAAAAATTAAACTAGAGTACGAACTTACACCATACCCAAAAATTTTTTAAATGGATAAAAGACTTAAATGGAAGTCACAAAATCATAAAAATCTTAGAAAAAACATAAGTAGTTAAATCTCTGATATTCAATGTGGAAATATTTTTGCCAATATATCTCCTAAATCACAGCAAAGAAGGCAGAAAATAGACAAATGTGACTAGATCAAATTAAAAAGCTTCTGCACAGCTAGATAAACCACCTCAGGACAAAACGGGAAAACACAGTATGGGAGAACATTTTTGCCAATGATACCTCTGACAAGGATTTACTCTCCAAAATATACAAAGAACTAATACAACTCAATGCCAGGAAGACAAACAAACCAATTAAAAAATAGGCAAAGACCTGAATAGACACTTCTCCAAAGAGGACGCACAATTCCTATAGACATGTGAAAAAAATGCTCAACATTGCTAATCGTCAGAGAAATGCAAATTACAACCTCAATGAGATATCACCTTACATCTGTCAGAATGGCTGGTCATCAATAAAACAACAAAAACAAGTACTGGCATGGATGTGGAAAAAAGGGAACCCTAGTACACTATTGGTGGGAATGCAGACTGGTACAGCTATGGTGGAAAATAGTATGGAATTTCCTCAGAAAACTAAAAATGGAACTTTCTTTTCACCCAGTGATTCCACTTTTGGGAATATACTCCAAGGATCCCAAAATACCAATGCAAAAAAAATATATGCACCCTATGCATGCTATGTTTATGGCAGCACTATTCACAATAGCCAAGATTTGGAAACAGCCTAAAGTGTGCCCTTCAGTAGATGAGTGGATAAAAAAGCCTGTAGCACATTTATACAGTGAAATACTACACAGCAGTAAAAAAAAGAAAAACTCTTACATTTTTCAGTAACATGAATGGGCCAGGAGAAAATTATATTAAGTGAATTAAGCCAGTCAGTGAAAAAAAATACTACATGATCTCACCTATATATAGAATATAATCTAATGAACACAATAAACCAATGAACAAAATAGTAATAGAAGCATAGACACATAAAAGACTATTGCCTCCTGGCTGTTGTGGCTCAGTGGATTGAGTGTCAGCCCATGAACCAAAGGGTTGCTGATTCAATTCCCAGTCTAGGGCACAGGTCTGGTTTGCCAACCAGGTCCCTAGTGGAGTGTGTGTAAGAGGCAACCACACCTTGATGTTTCTCTCCCTCTCTCTCTCCTTCCTTCCTACCCTCTAAAAATAAATAAGTAAAATCTTTAGAAAAAACAGGTTGATGCCAAAAAGGTAGGTGGGATGAAAGATGGTGAAGGACCCATGGACACAGACCGCAATAATACAGGGATTGGCTTGGGAAGGAGAGGAAGCGTTAGGTGGCAGTGGGGAAAGGGAGAAAAAGCAGGCACTGTAATGGCATAAAAAATAAAAATCAAATTAACAAAAAATAGTAAAATGACAAAATGAATAAATAAATAAATAAAAATTGCATGCAGCTTCTGTTGCCAAATCATTTTTTAAAATTCTTTCAACTCCTCCCACAGCCAAACCCAAGAATCAGTAATTACCCATAACACACTATTAACTGTCATGTAGTCAGCAGCTTCACAAAACATCCCAAACTCTAAATTAACAACTAAGACTACCAAGAAAATTCTAATAAACTTTATTTACCGATTTCTGCCTTCACTCTGTGAAAATAGGGTGATTTTGGTGATATGATACCAAATGGTGTGTATAGTATATCTACCTCACATATTTAACTTTTTATACATCCAGAATCATCTTAAATGTTTCTATTTTATCTTCTGTAATAAATAGTTTGGCAAGGTTTCTTTGCAAAATAATATTAAAAATATAAATTATAAACTGTTAAATAACACTAAGTAGTATGAAAATGATAAAATAATTATTCAAATAATTTTGTAAATCTTCAAACTGTTTATTGAATTTTCAAAGCATGTTGCTTAAAATGAAAATTGGAATTACTTACCCCATGGCCACCGCAATGTTTAGAACTGTGGCATGCCCTTGTATTGAGCCTGTATTGAATCTCTAGGCACCTAAATCTGACACACATCTAAAACAAAGCAAAAGGAAGTGAAATGTAAAGTCAGCCAAATGATCAGATCATGTGTATTGGTAATACATAAGAAAAATTGAAGAAAATTCCAAATTCATATTACCAAAGATTGGCATAAAAATCTAAATAATAAAGTAATAGTGAGTACACTGAAATAAATGTAAAATAGGTTATCTTCAGATTATAAAGATATAATCATATATAAGAGGTTAGAATTTTTATTTTCTTATTGTCCAGTACCAAAAGTCCTCTTAGCAAGATAAACTTCTGGAAAACTAATTTGATTAGGTCCTTGAGGAACATTTTTTTAAATGTCCAGGCTAGCCAGTAGGTGGCACTCTCCCATAAAAGGATAACTCTACAAGACCTCCACCATTACAAAAATATATATATCATATTAGTGTTAGATGTTAATAATAGAGGAAACTGGGTGTGTTGCCTACGGGTAGGGATGGGCAAGTGGGCAAGAGGGAAGAGGTGATGGTATACTCTAACACTGGATGGTTGTGCAACTCTATAAGTTAAACAAAAGCCATGAGTTGTACACTTACACCATAGGTGAATTTTATGGAAAAATGATATCTCAATCAGGTTGTTAAATGCATTGGTTGGCATAGTGTCAAAATGAGTGTAAACATAATAAAGTATTGAAAGCACTTATAATTCTGTAGATTAATTACCATCCCAGGACCACACGTAGTGCCATCTTCTACAAATGTTTCATCTCTATCTTCAGGTTGACTGTATGTCGATAATGTCTCTTTGAGTATCCTGTCCGTGTGTAGATATGTAGATACACATGTTTCCTCTCGTACGTGTGTGTAAATCACAGATAAATTTGCACGCGATACTAATTTTTTATGTGGCCAAGAACAAACTAATTTTCCACACAGCAAATTACTAGAAACATAAGGCATAAAAAATTCTCTTATTATTAACATAGATTGCTAATACATCTAAGTTAAAAACACATTTTACCAACTTAAATCTATGTTTCAAGAATTTTCTGTCAGCAAAGTTTTCTGAACACACCTCCTTATGCATGATGTGGCTCTTTTGTTTAACGAGACAATGTGGCAAGGAAAAAATTAGTGATTTTTGCACTCTGACAGACCTCACCTCTCCTATATTACCTTCTGATATTTAAGTAAATGGTTGCTGGTCTTCAAATTTTTATTAGTGAAAAATGGAATAACTCTTACTATATATGTTTGATGCATTAAACATATTTATAATATACACTCATATAAGCTACTTAACACAACATCTACCTCATTACAACAATAAACGGGCAATTTTTATGGTCATTGGAACATTATAAGCTCATGTTATTTGTAGGCAATGGGTAATATGCTGTTCTCAGATCATAGAACAAAGAAAACCTGGTATAAAATATCATTTTAGTGATCATGTAATAATATATTCTGGTATCCTAAAAACATATAACCTACATTACAAACAAATTAGAATTGTCTAAATACATACGGAAATGAACAATACTGATTGCCACAGTTTCCAAATCTATCTCCTGCTGAATTTATTTCTTCATAACAATAAAATGGAGCACCTCTAGAAGCTAAAAGAAAAAATATGTAGATTATAATACATAATTCCAATTATCATTAAAGAAACAATAGACTCCCTCTGGAAATCATAATGTGATCCCTAGGGAGATTTATAATTACCTAGCATTAAATAATGGGTTGCAGTAGATCCAGGATTAAATTAAGATCCCCCCATTTTAAGCCTGCTACACTTTCTTCTGCACCAGACACAATAGAAATGAAGTAATATCCATAATGAAATACTGATAAGAAGTCCAAGGATCACTTAACTCTTCTTCTGTACTAGATTCCTCATCTCTGTTCCCAAGCATCCTAACAATCACTAAATATTAACTGTTGAATTTTAAAATTAGGAAAACATCAATGTTTATCTACTTAAGCCCTTTTATATATTTAGTTATGTCTAATTTTTAAACCTTAAATAATTCCAATGTACATGATAGCTGCTTCATTCCACAGATTTGGTGATTCAGAGGCTCATTGGGTTGATCATGTCAATCCAATGTGATAAGAACAATCTTCTGTTGTCACTACTATTAATTGAAAAGGGACCTCCCTTTAGCAATTTTACGTATTTTCATAGTTGGAGAACATTATCTAAGACTTTTACTATCTCTCCTGAAAGATATAATCCATACATATTCAGGGTGCTACCAAATAGTCAAAACAGATGTGTGAGCAGAATCCACCATAATCAGCCTCTTTTCTTTTGAAAAGACCTTCTCTTGAACTCACCCGATAATTGGCTTTTGTTTGCTTTACTCCAATCAAAACACTGTTTTGCTTCAATCTAATTTAAATGTGAGGGTTCTCCCAAATTCTATATGGGGCCAAGATTGGGATGGTAGAAAATTTAAGGGGGTAGGGAAACAAAAACATAATAATCCAATAACATCTTAATGCATCAAAAACATTAAACTTGATTGCGAGGAAAATCCGTAAGGAACCAAACACTACATGTTAGTTAGGGACGGGTCATTGCTGTATGAAACCTCGCTCTGCAGTGCCATCTTAGCAGCTTCGCCAATCCCCGCCCCCCCGCCCCAGTTTCCTCAAGTGCGTGGGAAGCAGGTCAGAAAGCCACCACGCTGAACAACCCAACATCCTCAACAGTGGCCTTTTCAGCTCAATTTTTTAGGCTCAGGATGGCAGGTATTTCTTCATTGTTTTCTTGACACCCCAGGTCCACTGACCTGGCAGATTTACTCCTGGCCAGAATTTTCTTTTCCTACCAAAATTGTGCCTGCTGCAGTTCTACCACCCAATTTTCCTGGGGCCTGAGAGATTTAAGCATATAGGTATCAACTTTCCTATTCTTTTTTCTTTTTTTTTATTTAATTATTTTTCAAGTACAGTATTCTGTCTTTTACTCCCATCCCAGCCCACCCCCCCACCCCCGTGTCCCCCACCTCCCTCCCATTTCCACCCCCCTTAGTTGTTGTCCATGTGTCCTTTATACTAGTTCCTGTAAATACTTCCCCTTTTTCCCCTGGAATTCCCTCCCCTTTCCCCTCCGGTCGCTCTCATTTGGCAGGCTTCGAAATGGGGTCACCACAAAACCCAAGTGAACAAAGAAAGACAATGATCAAAAGTTTGGGACACTTCAGGACAGAAATTTGATACTCTTACAGCAGCACTTAAGTCAATGGGGTTCCCTGAACTCTGAGGGTGGAAGTTCCTTGACAGGCTATGCCAACATCTAGTCACATGAGGAGTGGCAATGACCTGCTATGGGTGGGAATGGTCTTGAAGGAGACTCTGAGAAGGTAGTTCTGAAGATTCTGAGATCAAGAGAACGCATTTTTTACCTGATAGGGCCAAGTAAAGATCAATACCTGAGGGGCTTCATTTGTTTTGCAGGGGGTGCTTCTGTTTGGTTTGTTTCCTACACGGCAAGAAGATTCTCTAAAAGTAAGGCATTAATTTTGTATACTTTTATATACTTGTTCACCTTCATTGTTAATCCCTTGTATTTTGCAATTCACAGTCTTTCCCACCACATTTTATTACCGGAAGCAAGGCTGCGATAAAGCTAGGCGGGTATCTGTGTTTCTGCTTATGGGTAAGGAAACCCAGTGTCCTGCACTGTGTCACATTGATCTCAATGCTCAAGAATATTACAAGCAGGTATTCCTAAGTCTGACCAGTAGCTGAAGTGTAAAGTATAATAAAAATATAGCATCTTGGTTCCCTGTGATTATATGTATGAGACAGGGAGAGAAAAGGTCTAATTCCATAAAATGCTCCATGCATAAATACTCCAAGTACCAGCTATCACTGCCATGTCTAATGGAGCTTAGGAATAGCAAAATATAATAAAACAGGCTCTGGCTGGGGGGGCAGAGGGTCTGATAAATACATCTCCCAGTGTAAAATAGGGGCTGCAGCCAAATGGAGACCTACACTTGGGTGCCCGGGCTGAAGCTATGAAACCCAGTAGCACTGTAGATGGGCATATAAACTGGGGCAACTACTATGGAAAACAGTATGGAGGTTCCTCAAAAACTTAAAAAATAGGACTAAGTAGATCCAGCAATTCCACTTCTGGGTATATATTCAAAAGAATTGAAATCAGGATCTCACAGAAACAGCTGCACCCCATGTTCATTGCAGCCTGGTTCACAATATCCAAGATACATAAACAACATAAGTGTCTACCAACAGCTTAATGTAAAAGACACTGTGTGTGTGTATATGTATATATACAACAGAATAGAATTCAGCCATGAAAAGAATGAATTCCTCACATTCAAAGTGCTGAATAGGAAAAAAAGATGCCAACAAAGAATACTCTCCTGGGCAAAACTACCCTTCAAAAATTAAGGAGATATATAATCAAAAGCTGAAGGAGCTCATAACCATTAGACCTCCTTACACAAAATGCTAAAGTGAGTGACATCAGCATTGTGGTGGCGTACACAGCCCTCCTTTCAAAAAAATCCACATGTATTTATTATGTATTTGGTCTGTTTTATATGTCCAAGGAAGAACAGAAGATGGGAAAAAAATCATTTCCTAGCTTCAAGAAATCAAAGATTTAGATGTAAATGCAGAAAACATGATGTTAAAAGAGTAAAACACTACTAGCTGATGGGCTTCAGAATAAGTAAATGATGCAATGAAGCTTTAAAAATATTTAGCTGGGTTATTTTAAAGAATCTTAGAGACAGTTTCTAAATATCAAATGCATTAGGTATTTTGTTTGGTTTTCCAGATTTCTGACTGTGTTAAAATAGACATAATACAAAGTTGACCACGTACAGCATTTTAAGTGTGCTGCTCAGTGGTGTTAGGTACATTCCCAGTGCTGTGGAGCCATCACTGCTAGTCCATGACTCTTTGCATCCTTTAAAACTGAAACTCCATCGCTGCCTAACAATGACTCCCCCTTCCTCCCTTCCCCAAGCCACTCGCAACTGCCATTCTATTTTCTGTGACTATGATTTTGACTGTGCTAGGTACTTCATATCAGTGAAATCACACAGTGTTTCTTTTTGTGACTAGCTTATTTCATTTAACAAGGTTCATCCATGATGTCACATATGCAAAATTACCACCTTCTGAAAGCTGAATAATACTTTGATATATTTCTTGTTTATATGTAGATGTCACATTTTGCTTTATCCATTTATCTGTCAGTGCACCTTTGGGTTGCTTCCAAGTTTTTGCTCTTGAAAATAATGCTCTCGACATGAGTGTACAAGTATCCCCTACAGACATTATTTTCAGTTTGGGCGTACATACCAGAAAAGGAATTACTCATCATGTGCTAATTCTATTTTTAATTTTCTAAGAGGCCTCTGCAGTATTTTCAACAGGGGATGTACCATTTCATATTCTCATCACCAAGGCACACGGGTTCCCATATCTTGACATCCTCACCAACACGTCATTTTTGGTTTGTTTTTTTTTTAATAGTAGCTATCATAATGCATGTGAGGTGGTATGTTATTGTAGTTTTAATTTTCATTTCTTAATTATTAGTAGTGTTGAACTTCTTTTCATGTGCTTATTGGCCATTTGTATATTTTCTTTAGAGAAATGTCTATGCAAGTCTTTGCTCATTTTTTATTTGAGCTATTTGGTTTTTGTGGTTGAATTTTAGGAGTTTTCTATATATTCTGAGAATGAATTTCTTATCAGATATAGGCTATGCAAATATTTCCTCCCAATGAAATTACAAAACAGCCAGAAAACAGTAAGATGGTGTTAGTAAGCCCTTACATTTGGGGCCAGATAATTTTTGTTGCAGGAAATGTTCTTTGCATTGTGGGATGTTTAACAGCATCCCTGATTTTACTTGCTAAAGACCAGTGTCAATTTCAAGTTATCATAATGAAAAATGTCTTCAGGCATTGTATCTAGTCAGCAAAGGCCAACGATGCTTCAAGTATTCCACAATGCACAGGACGATCCCTCTCGCCCCCACCTCCCACAACAAAGGAATGTCTGGGCCTAAAGTATCAGTAATTCTGAGGTTGAGAAACCTTGATATAACTGCTGAATGAGTACTCACATACCTTCAGGAGCCACACCACTCAGTTTGGTGACAGATCTTTTTATTAATGTCTGTCACTTTACTAATTAGATTTTGACTTTCTAGATGACAATCATCACCACCAAATTAATGACACAAAAACTTTAACATTTATTTTATGCCTAGAAGAGGGAGTTTCTTTAAGTTGAGAAATAACACTGAAGAACATGCTGTAGCAGCCGGTCTTTTACAGAAACAAAATTTGGTAAAGAACTTAGAAAAAGGTGGTACATTCCCACTTGAGGTATATTACTGATCTAATTTTTAAAAAGTAAATGCTTAAATTTAAGGTCTTTTGCCATATGTTTCTCTACTTTGGATGATAATGCTTCATACAGAAGCTGTCTTTCAACATTATGCCAGAGGCATATTTTGTACAGAAACCAATAATTTGGTGTAATAATGATTTGTATTAAGTCTATGGGATAAGATTTGTCTTGGTTGTTGCCTATAAATTATATGTGGTTTTTACAT